TGATTGAAATTTCAGCCAGAATCTGAAACCTGGACACGATCTTTGCTGATCTACACATTTTTCTATGCCGCTTGAAGTCAAATCGTTTTCTTGGCTTATTTTTCACAAGAAAATAATTAAAAAAAATATTTAAAAAGACCAAAAATGAAGATATAAAGCTGTTTGGAAGTTCTGAGAACATTTAAAGCATATAATATATTCGGCTTCCAGCAAAGACGGACGGCGAAGGTGCAAGCTGCAAGAGTCCTGCGCTCTTTTAATGGGGCAAACTGGCAAGCAACCTGCCTGTGTCTTTGGCCACCCGGTGCTTACAGGCAAGGAAAATAAAAAGAGAGAAAGAAAGAAAAAGGAGAGGAATAGAGAAATCCCTTTCCCAGCATCCCGCAGGCACAAGGCATTTGCAGCCCAGCCGTGCTGGACCCCGGAGCGGGGTCCAGCCACCCTCGTTTTGCCCACCAGCCTTCGGGACGGGGGGGGGGGGGAGAGGGGGCGGTTTTTGCCGGGGCAGGCGGACACCGGGGAAGGAAAGCCCGCAGCCTGCACGGCTGTGCCCTCGGAGGGCAGGTGGGCGACCTCTCCCCTTGCCTCAAGGCCCGCACCGCCCGTCTTTCCCCGTGCCCTTGGCTCTCCGCTCCCGCAGGGCGACTTCAGCTGCCCGTGGCGTTCAGCCTTCCCCGGACCGGGCCGGCAAGGGCCCCGAGGTGCCCGGGCCGAACCGGGCCGGGTGGCGGGGCTCTGAGCACCCGCACTGCCTTCCCCGGCGTCCCCATCGGGACGCCCGCTCTGCCCCGCTCAGGGCTGAGCCCGAAAATACCCCGCGGGCGAGTGAAGCAGCCATACGCCGAGCTAGATTTCTAAATTTTATTATAAAATAAAAGCAGAAATATTTTCCAAAGAATGTATTCACATAATATAAACAATAAACAAAACTAAGGTGAGTGACTTGCGGTTGATACTGTCGTTTAGGTCTAAACTTGAGCAGCAATTCCTGTTTTCTTTTTAAAGCCCGCTCCAGCCCGCGTTGCACACCGAGGGGAAAATCTACCTCTGCCTTCCTTCGGGCCGGAGCCGGGCCATCACTTCCTTTCCCACCCAGCAAATGGCGAAAGCACCACATGGACGAGGCCAAAGAAGCTGTCTCTCTGCATAGCATCAGCTACAAGAAGGTTACAGAGTCTGCCTAGAGCGCGTGCTGCTGCTATATCTTGACTACAACTTTTGTATTCTTAGTTGAAATTGTACATCGTACACCTGCCACGGATACATAACTACAATAGGATAACGGGAGCGATGTGTAACTTTCAAACAGGCATGGCAAGAGCAGCCTTGCGTTCCCCTTTCTTCCCCCCCACCCCCCAAAAAAAAAAAAGAAATATTACAATGTGCCTCTTCCCATACAGACCGGCCCGACCGAGTGACAACACTGAGAGATTTGTGAAGTTAAGGCTGGAACGAGCTGCTACACCGATCAGCCTTACAGCCTGCCGTGAAAATCACGGCTCCTGTCCAACAGTCCTTACACGCCTGAAAACGCCTGTAAGCAACCCTTAAGGCTTTTCACAATATCAGCTACCCACAGCAGAGCCCACTACCTTGCAAACCTGCAGCCAGCCTACTGCCAAAGGGCACAACACTTCCACTAAGGTGTTTGTCATTGCTTCAAAGTCCCAGGTAAGATTAAGGAAAAAAGAAAAAAAAAAAAAAAACCCAACAAAAATTGAGGAAAGAAGGGCTGGCGCGAAGGAGTGTGCGTGTACACGGTTTTAAGAGCCCAGATCGACCAAGTTAGATGACATGGGGTTGAGAATGGAGTCCTGCAAGCTGTGGTGGTGCATAGGGTCGCCGCTGGGCACGGGGATGGCGCTGGGGCCCTGGGGGTGGCCCAGGCCGTGCAGGGGCTGCAGCCCGGGGTTGGAGCTGAGCAGCAGCGCAGGGCTGGAGGAGGTGTGATCCGGGGTCCCTGACGGCGTCTTCTCGTCCTCTGAGCTCCCCAAAACTGTCTTATTCCCGTTCATAGACGCCGAGAGCGGGTTGTGGCTGTTGGAGTTGGAATTCTCGTTGTTTTCCCTATAGGAAACACAAAAGAGGGAGGGAAATCACCATGTGGCCGTCGCTCCGGGGTGCGCGCCGCGGGAGCGGGGGCGGCGGGGAGCTGGCTCCGGGGAGCAGCGAGCGGAGGGGAGTGCAAAAACTGGAGGTTTAAAAACTCTGCCGACCTCCAAGGCCACTTCATCTGGCACTTAGGTCTAAGGTCCGCTGAGCTTGTAAACAGTCTCCCACCAGCCCAGCGGAAAGTGTCACTTTGCCAAACCGTAATTTTCTGCGTCCAAAGAGTTTGCACAGCGTGAGGAGGGGGGGGCGGAAGGGAGGAAGACTTTATTTAAAAAAAACAGCTATTAAAAAAAAAAGACTTTTTAACTTTAAAACTGCTCTAGGAGCTGAAGAGATGTTCAGCCATAATTTCTCCTGAGAAGGCCAAAGCCCGGAGAGCTGCAGGCAGGATGGCTCCGTGCAGCAGAACAGCCTCCCGGGCTCACATCAGGAGGGGAAAGTATTTTGCTTAATTAACTGGACTTGGGTTTTTTTCCCCCCCTGCCCTGAGCTTCAAGCTCAAAACATAGCCCAATATGGACGACAAGGAAAGCGAACAGAGTTAACCCGCTGCTTTCCCCGGCCCTCTCGGGAAATGCTCTGCAGCCCGCCGCTGCTCCTCCGTCCCCTCCTGGAGCGGCGTGGGCGCAGCCAGGATGGCCTCGCACGGCTCCGCGGCGGGGGCACGCCGACAAAGGCTCGGAAAGGCAGGACATAGTTTCGAAATTCATCACCGGGTGAATACCAAGAGATCGCTGGAGGCGGGCCAAGCCCTTGCAGATATATTCTATATATTTATATATCTATAGATGGGGCTTTTTTTCGGTAATGTGAGTGACAGGAAGGGGTCGGGGTGGCCGTCTAGGCAAGGCTTACGCGGCCTGCATAGCCCTCGTAGAAATACTTTAGACACCGTTCAGCCTGAACTACTGAAGGCAGTGCAAGCCTATTTAGAAGCTTCTGTGGGAGTTTTGTAACACACTGTCTGGCAGAGGGGCCCTATCCTGCAGGATTTGGTCGAGAGAAATTAAGCTGTTGCACTGACGGGTTTTCCTCACTAAGGGCTGCATGATGTGGCTGGAGACACTTAGTGCCAAAAAAATTAAAATAGACAAGAAAGCTCTGTTTGAACAGGTTTCCTTGAGTGGATAGCAATCCCATGAACGATCTGTTCTCCAACGCCTGGAGTGTAATATTAGGTTGAGTGTATTTTTCAATGTCAAAAATATTATTTGCCTCTGGAGACCTTTAAAATTTGATTCCTCGGGAAAAAAAAAAAAAAAAAGGAATGGAATAAGTGTAACCTTCATTTCCTTTGGATATCTGAAGGTGAGTCCCTGCTATCAGCAATAAAAAGGATCTCTAACATCTCGTAAAACCAACACTTGTGAGGATTTGAAGGAAAATTAAAGCACTAGCACAGTTTCGGGAAATGAATAGAGCAAACCTGTGCCCGAATCTGCGGGGCTGCGCGGCAGTGCGGCCGCGGCGCCGCCTGTTTCCAAAACACGGTTGGCAGAAACCAGTGATAGAAAGAATTCTCCTCGGAGGCACGGATCTACAGGATTCTGATCCGCTAATTAACCGCGCAGATCATACGATCCTACAATTGCCTGTACGGACCGGGCAGTTCAGTGAGATACTGAAGGCAGCAAGAGGACCCTTTTTGCTTCTTCGAACCGTCTCAACACGGGGAATGCTGGTGGAAAAATCATCCCGAATAGCCAGGGATGTAGGCATTAACCTATTCCCGGCGATTAATGGTCCCTTCCCTCCACTTAACGTGAAAAACACGGATGCAGAATCATATTCGGCCTAAGAACACACACCTATTGACGTGCGTTCCTGAGCACCTTGCTGGGTAGCGAATAAGAACTGCAAGGTCATGAGCGAGGCAGGAAGTTGCTCCGCTCAGGACGCCAGGAGCCCAGGACAGAGGACATATTTGCTACCGAGGTTCAGCCCTACGCATTGCCGGCTGCCCCCGGCTGCCCCTTTCTGCACCGGGGTAATCCTCAAAGACCTCTCTGAGCTGCGCGGGCTGTGGAGCCCTTGCCTTTGGGCCCCGCCGCCGCCGGCCTCTCCTGACGGGCCGCAGCTCCTGGCTGGGCTCCACGCCGGGCTGCGACGGAGAGGAGAGGAGGCGGCAGCGCTGCTTAACCGGGAGTCCTCGCAGGCCGTGTAAAGCGTCCCTGGCAGCCGGGGCTGCCCCGGGGCCGCCGCGCCGGCTGTGCGGGGAGTGGGGTGTCGGCGGGGAACGGGTCCCGGCCGCCTCTCCCGGGGCTACTTTTGGTGCGCAGACGCCTTCACCAAGCGCCCGGCTCGCTCGCCTCTGGTTGTCTGGGAGCCCCCGAGGCGGAGAGCCCCCATCCCCTCCCGGCGGGCCTTCCGCAGCCGGGACCAGGGCAAATAGAGAGACTCGGGGTGAGCGGCGGGGTCGGGGTGCCGCGGGCGCCGGGGGAAGCCGTGGGAAGCCGTACCTTTCCTTGGCCTCGGCGGCGCGGTCCCGCTGCCGGCGGTTCTTGAACCAGTTGCTGACCTGGGTGGTGGTGAGGCCGGTGGCCTCGGCCAGCTCCCGCTTCTCGCGGGGGGACGGGTAGGGGTTGTGGGCGTACCACTCTCGGAGGACGCTGCGGCTCTTCTCCTTGAAGCAGTAGCTGGTCTCCTCGCCGTCCCAGATGGAGCGGGGCAGCGGGAACTTGCGGCGCACCCGGTACTTGCCCACCGCCCCTAGGGGTCGCCCCCGCAGCTTCTCCGCCTCGATGTAGTGCGCCTTCAGCCAGAGCTGCTGCAGCTTGGGGTGGTTGTGCGCCGAGAACTGGTGGCTCTCCAGGATCTTGTAGAGCTCGCGGAAGTTGCCCCGGTGGAAGGCCACCACCGCCTTGGCCTTCAGGACGCTCTCGTTCTTGTGGAGGTGCTCGCAGGCAGGGAGGGACCAGAGGAACCGCCCCAGCCGCTCGATGTTGCCGCCTTGCTGGAGCACCTCGCAGACGCAGGCCACTTGCTCTTGGGTGAAGCCAAAAGTCGGGAGCATCGACATGGTGAGCCCTGCCGCGCCGCGCGCCCTACGGCCGCATAGAGGGGAGCGGCGCGGGGCGGCGGGCAGCGCCCGGCATGCGGGGCCGGCCCCGGGGCGGCGGCGCCCGGCGGGGCCCGCTTGGGCGTCACGGCCGGGCGCGGGGGGCCGCGGCCATCGGCGGCGCCCGGCCCCGGGGCGGTCGCGGGAGCCGGGGAAAAAATGCGAAGAGCGACGACAAAAGTCTCGAGAGCCCGAGCGCGGGCGGCTTTTCCCCCCGGCCGCCGCCTCGTTTTTGTAAGTCCAAGTTGCGAGAGTAACTTCGTGCCTCTTTTGTCTCCTATCTGCAGCGCTCGCAGCGGCCGCGGCTCTCACACCCCCACCCCCCTCGGCCGCCGGTTTGGGATCTCCCTGCTTCCCCCCCACCCCCCACCGCCAGATCCCACATAATATAGTGGTAAAGCCCTGCTCACTCGCTCCTCTCTCCCTCTCGGAGTTTTCCCCCCTTTCTTTCTCTCTCTCTCTTTTTTTTTTTTTTTTTTTTTTTTTTTTTTTTTAAATAATATTATTCTAAGCTGGCATGAAAAGTGATTATCCGCGCTGTGATTGGTCCGGTTATCTGACCCGGGGACTGCCAGGAGAAGACAATAGTTTTAGTCAAATTATTTGCCATGGTGACGCTGTCAATCAGGGGTAACCCGATCTGTTTTGAGGTGGCTCCCCGGCTGGGTTGACAGATTGCTCAGATCCACTCAGAGGCGGCCCTGAGAGCTGAGATATTAGCTAGCGAGGGAGAAATTTCCGTCGTGATTGACGCTGCAGGCGCCCGTCGGGGGAGAGGGGGAGCGCGGAGCCCGGGCCCCTGCTCCTCGCCGCGGGGCACTGCGGCGCGGCGGGACGGAGCCGCTGTCTCGGCCGGGCCCCGCCGTCCCGTCTGGATCCCGCAGCCCCATCCCATCCCTGCCGCTCCGGACGGACAGCAGGCTCTGCCGTCCCTAGCAGCCGCGGCTGCGGTGGGAGGAAAAGCCCGTCTCCGGCCCTTGCAGAAAAATTTCTTTCTAAAAGCGTTCCCTTATAGCCCCTCTCCCCAGCGCCCAGTAACCACTGTTGGCGAGTTTTATAAGGAAGGGGCCTCTCATGTACAATGGAGACCCTGTTCGTGACCTGGGATCTCATTACACTCTTCTCGTACCTGCCCGGGAGCGAGAAGAAGGCACGATGATACGGGGCCGGAGAGGGATTGCCTCTCCATTAGTCGCCGGCCGTGTCCCACCACGCTCCGGCGTGAAGGGCACTGGCATTTGTGATTACTGGACGCTGAACATTTACTTATACTGGATTTCCAGAGCGTGTCGGGGTGTTTCATACAGGAGAGGAACACGTGTAAGAGTGTAAAAGTCAGAAACACTTCGCTTGATTAAACGGACCCTTATCACCCACGCGTGCCCTTTGCACACCGCGTTTTAAGTTTACCGACTCTGCGGGGCAGGGACCCGCATCCTTTCCCGTCCCTTGTCGGTCTACACAAAGTGAAAGGCGAGGGAGAGAGGTCGTGCAAGCTGCAAGGTCGAGGGAGAGGGTGCGATGAGCGGCTGCAGGGAGCCGCGGTGCCTCCTCGGGAGCGGCGCACGGGGTGGCGGCCAAAGGGGACCGCCGGGGCGGAGGCTGGCGCCGGGGATCGCCCAGGTGAGGGCACTCGGGAGAAGCCTCCCGGCCACAAGCTCAGGGTAGTTTCCACGGCCTGTTATGTTCCCCTTTTGCTGAGAAATAATAATTAATCCCACAAAGTCCTTCTACGGTATTTGCAGTCCTGACAGGAGAGGTCTCTGCAATTGTGGGTTCCTGCCACGGTACCTTTATAGCCGCCCCGGCGCGTCAGGGGTTTAGCGAAGCCGCAAGAGACCGGACTGCGGCTCCCCACCTCGCAGCCTGAGCCTCCGTGCCGACGGACCGAGCCTCCGTGCCGGCCCGAGCGGGCGCAGCGGCCGTCCCCGGGGGAAGGCGAGGCTGGGCGGCGGCGCGCAGCCCGGCGGCTCCCGGCGGCGGCGGCTCCCGGCGAGGAGCCGCGCCAGGGCTGCGGCCGGGGAAAATGCGGCGGGGGAGGGAGGCAGGAGGAGGAGGAGGAGGAGGAGGAGGAAGAGGGCGGGGTAGGGGGCCAGCAGATCAACCGTGTCCAGCTTCCAGCATGTCCGAACGCCTGTGTATATCCGCGGCGTATGCTCGTACTTTCTCGAGTGCACTCTGCTGTGGAAGCTGCGTTGTCCTCCTACCTATCCGTCCGGCCTTTTCAACGAGTGCTGCCGTAAGGAAGCAGTGGCAAGCGGGCGGTTCCCTCCCTAGATCCTCCGGGGACGGAAAATAGAGGCTTCTTTTTCAGGTGGAGAAAAGAACAGCTCAAATTCGTTTAAAACAAAATCGAGCATATTGGTGATGGGGCGGTAAAGTCCCCTCGCATTGATGCTCCCTCCGTTCTTTTACAAAATGAGCTCTCAGCCGCTTAGTGCCTCGATTCCGGCCGATCTCTGCAGGATTCAAAGTGTGCTTGTTTGTAAACGAAAGCATCCCTATCCCAGCGCTTCCCAGCCAACCTAAGCGGCTGGATAGTTCATAGCCGCAGCTGTAGCCAACAGCGGCGGGACGGTACAACCGCGCCACTTCAAAGGTTGCTCTGAGCAGAAAAGGCAAGGAAACCACAAATCCCCTTCCCCGTCCCCGACCTCTGCGCGCACACACCGTGTGCCTTCCGCTCCCTCCCTCAATAGGGACCGTGGAAATAATGAAAAGTGCTAGCGAGGTCTGAGCTGTGTCTCCCGCTTCCATGCTACCACGCTCGGTCACCCCACGTTTATTAGGGCTATACCTGACTCCTTTTCCTCTCTTTCTATCTCACAACCACAGTGGTAAATCTGAACGGGAACAGCTGTTACCCCTAGTTGGAAAGGAGATGTCAAAACCCGTTGCATAGGTTTAGACCTGAAAAAGAGTCTTCTTAGAACCCTAAAATGTGAGTACAGAGTTTACACTCCAGCTCCTCCGTAGACGCTTTCACTTTAGGCTGCCTTAGCCGGGCTGCAGCTTGCATGTAACGTAAGTGCACTTCCCGGAGAGCTGGGCAGAGGCAGGGCTACCCCCTTCCCGGGCACCCTATATCAGCTTGCGTCCTACAGCAATCGTAAATTAGTGACATCTGGATCCAAATTCTGCATAACTGCTTTTATCTTTAGGGAAAGAGAAAAATTTTCCTACGTGCTAGAAGTCAGAGCAGATACTGGCTGCACAGCCGCGGCGCGGGGAGAATCGCATTGTAGTGCCTTGCGAGAGAAATAGGCGATCGGGATAGGACTTTTTTTTTGGCATTTGCGAAGGCTCTCGCTCCCTGACATTAGATTTCAGAGCAGGAGGAGCGAATCGCCTGCTCACATTTGCCCCGGGACCGACGAGATGGTTTCGCCTGGCTACTGCCAGCTGTCTCCCGTTTAGCTGTCGTGGAAAGTTTTAGCTGAGCCGACCCAAATTTTCGCTCGGCTCCGCTGCCGCCGGGCGGCGAAGGCCGGGGTTTCACCCGCTCCGGGTGGCACTTTGCCGGGGCCCACGCGCGGGGTTTCACCCGCTCCGGGTGGCACTTTGCCGGGGCCCACTCGAAAAGCGCCTCACCCCTCCGCGCAGCAGCGTGCGGGGCCATCAGTGTCAACACAATCTTTGGGAAACATGAGGGAAATAAAAAGTTGTGGCTGAGGAACGGGGTGTGGGAGGGCGGTTTTCTTCTGAGGATCCTTTCCTTGCATAGAGCTGCTCCGTGCCCCCGAGTGAGCGCCAAAGTAGAGCCGCAGTTACCTGGAAATCGCTTTTTCGGTTCTGCCTGCACCATCCCTTTGTAGACAACAGCCTGTATGGGAGGCTGCAGGCCCGCATCGTTCCTGTTAAACACAGGAGCCGATTCACCCAACACCTTTCCCCAGCCTCTTCGACGGCTGCTTTTGCGGAGCCCCTCGTCCTTTTCTCCGAGTTGGGCTTGGGACAAACCTGTCACCCGCTCTCGCAGGGCTGTGGACACGTTATCTCCTGCCAGTCAGCCATGGGCTCAGCAGGGAGACAGGACCACCTCCAAGGGCGCTTTTATCGGCAGGGGTAGCGAAAAAATGATAAACCCCGCAACTTCCACACGCCCTAAAGAAACATGTTTCCCCGCAGATGTCCACTACCGTGGCGAGGACTGTAGGGAGAGCAACCAAAATGACAGACAACTCCAAGTTTTCGTTTCTTTCTTTATTTCCTTCCTTTATTTTACAATATTTTAATTTTAAATAAATAATTTATTTCTTTTTGGCGGGACTGCAATATGCTTTCCCCTTAAAACCTGTGGGGTTTACCGAGACCGAAAGTCTGCCGCGATGACACTGCTACTCCGGCTAGGTTTTTCTTGTATTTTCTTTTTCTTTTAAAGGCATCATAGCGACCTTTGCCGCGATACTGGGCCTACCTGCCTCATACCATCCAACCCTGGGGCTTAGCTCAGTTTCCCCGGGCTCACAAGTTTTTCGGTGCCGGGACTAGGGCTTCTTTAGGCGGCCAAAGCTCACCCGGCATTCCCGGAGGCAATTTTGCAACCCGGATCCGCGGGTTGTTTCCCCTGCCCTCACGTTCTTTATTCACGCTTTTATTTATTTTTCAGTTTTGTTTAAAACCCGAATCTATCCTATCAGGGCTGGCACTAAGTTCCTGTCTCGACTGAAAAAAGAAAGCACGGCAGAAGATCACTGCACACAACTAAATTAAGACAAACAACAATTGCTTGTTGTTCCCTGATTTGGGGAGAAAGGAATAATTCAAAGCTTTTCCTGCGCGCAGTGCACAGTTCCTCAAGGGGACGGGTCAAGGATTTCAGATATGTAGCGGGTAACTCGATTATGCTAACAAACTCCGCTTGAAAGAGGACGCTGGTGGGTGCGGGGCGCGGAGCGGGGTGCTGGGGGACTCTGCTGGGAGCCGGCGGGAGCGGAGCCGGTGCCCCACGGAGCCGCCCCG